AGGGGGCATTGGTAGAGCAAGACCCCCATCGTTCAAAGAGGACCCTCATAAGGAGAACACAAAGGTAAAACATTTTACAACTTCGACGATTACCATGATGGTATGAGGTGATGATGATGAGCCAAGCAGAGATGGACCAAACTGAAGCTTGACGGTAAGACGTATCTTTGACGAGACGATGCCTTGATGAGGACCAGGAATCGCGTGTGATTGTGTTAAATGGAACTGTGCTAAATGGAATTGTGTTAAATGGAACTGTGCTAAGTGATATTCTATTCTAGGAAAGAATAAAGGACGGTAAATTAAAGCATTGATATGTGTAAATTATAGCCAAAGTTCTAATTTCAGATGTTATGTCATATTATTGTAATGTATTGATGATTGTACATTGTAAGGTAGACACTTTGACCTTAATGTTTAGATTTGACATTTACTTGAGATAAGTCATTTGTGAGGACACAAATATTTTGAGAGGAGGGTAGTGTAACGGTCCAGAGATTTGACAGATAAGTTTTATACAGAGTTATTGAACCTGATTATTGTTGACATTTGTAGGAGAGTTGAGATGAATTTTTATCTATGTGTTATAGTTACTTGATATTGCAGGAATATGTACTGATTTATGCTTTCATGTAATTGATAGGTGATTATTGACAAGTTTAAGTGATTTACATGAGTTGAAATAGTTTGTGCACATGTTTTGAGTTACGTAGAAATCAGCTGATCATAGCAGTAGTAAAGTTGTGGTTATTTTAGCTTACTTCATGTTTCAGGGACTTTAATTGGTCTTATGTAGAAGATTAACCATAGATTTATGGATGGAATCATGTTTTCTTGAAGTTTAACTTGTTTTCAGTTAATTATTGGCAGTTTAATGTCCTGTTGTAAACTGGTAGATTTGTTTACGAACTTGGCGGTCGTAAATTGTGGAGGTCGAGCCCGATCGTAAAAGTTACGATAGTTTTAGGATTTTTGGAGTTAATTGTGTTATTTGTTGTATTAAATGCAGATTAATTTACTTATTCTAATTGAAGAATGTATTTAGAGATTACTTTCATTCAGAAAAGTTGTCTTGTATGTAGTTATTAGATTTTTCTATAGACTTTGCATTTTACGGGAAATGTCACGAGAGATTCTCCAACGTTTTCCAATGAGTCCAACAGTTTCCAACATTTACGTCATGTTATTGTATAAAAGAGAGAGATTCAAGGAATTTTTGCTCTTCTGCTAGGTTGGTTTGTTTAGAGAAGTCGTGTTTTAGGGGTAAGGAGTTAGTATGGGTTGGGCGTTTTGAATTTAGATTTAATAATGACTTTTTAGTTTTATTTTAAGAAGAGCCAGGGTTAGTTTAAGGATTTTTAGGAACTTTTAGAATATTTGTGGAATTTTATAGGAAGTTTTGGTGAGGATTTAGTGAATTTTAACTGAGAATTGGACTTGGTTAAATTTTGCTGGTTGTTTGAATTTTTGGTAAATTGTTGTTAAATTTTAGAAATACTTAAAATTGTTTAGGTAATTTATACATTTAGCTAAGGAAGCTAGTGTATTTCTAAATTTTGCTACTGTTTTTAACTGGAATTCAGACTTAAGAAATTTGCAGGAATTACTGGTATTTCAAATTTGTTAGGAATTAATTAGGTTTAAGGGATTAAGTTTTAGTTACTAGTTTTTACTTTCATCCAGGAGGTCTGGGAGGAAGTTTTGAGAGTTAGGAGTTTTGTGAGTTGCATTGAAGTTGGTTTTAGTCAGATAGGTTAGGACAAATAGGTGACATAGACAGACTGAGACAGAGTTTAGAATTTGTTGATTGTTTAATTGAGAGATAATTATTATAATAAATTGTAAAACTGTATTTTGTCTCATTTCAAGTACAGAGATTTCCAAGGTTTTATCAAAGTGTGATTTTCCAACAAGATGGAAATTGTGGGATATAAGAGATTAAGAACTGAGTAATGAGAATTTAAGAATTTTAGTGACTTCCGTAGATCTAGGTTGTAACGAGCTTGACAAATAGAGAAGTAAAACTGAGAGATTTCGTGCATTTATAAATTTAGTGTAACTTAGAGAGCGCGGGTTAATAATAGGAGGTATAGGTTTTGGGCAGTGGGGTATTATCTGAGTTCATTGATGAAAGGGAGATAATTTAGTGTGTGGTGATATAAGATTTAAAGAGTATTGAGTTTTGAACCACTGTGCCATACTAGCCCTCCTGAGCTCGGGTTGAGCTGTGTAACGCAAGCCTTGCCACGAAAGATAAGACAGCCCCTATAGATAGAGTGAGGGAGACGGCGGTCCCAGTAAGAGTACGGAGGAGGTTCCGTCCGTCCGCCTGCCCCCCACCCCGTTACAATACTTTTCCATACTTCAAAATGAATTGTAGCATGACATAACACTAGAATACATGCAGCAACACACACTGTGAAGTAAAACATATAAACGGGGGTAATAAAAAAATTGCAACATAAGTACACAAACATGTACATGTATATCACTCACAGTTTCAATAAGCTTAACATTTAACTATATGTGTTCACATTCTAAAAATGAACAGCTTACAACCAGCTTCGCTAGCCAAGGGTTTCTGAAAAGCTACTCTTTTCATGAGGTGCATATTGTGTCAGAAACCCTTGGCTAGAAAAGATAGCTTACAACATATTCCAACAAATATAAAATTCAAGGTTTTGTGTCAATTTTCAATAATTCTTTATGTCTAATGACTACTACATGTATATTCAGAAGCATTTTTTTAAAATTCAGAACAACTAAAAACTTCAATTTTGTGCCCAGCAGACAGAAAGGGTGACAGGCCTCCCATCGGTTCTACTTATAATAACCTGAAGATCTTGGACTGGTCAGTTAGGAAGGAATGTGGAATACTTCAGAAACTTCAGAGTTCTCAAAACTATGATAATGGAACTTGATATTTGTACACAATGAAGTTGACAAAATATAGAACATTTCTGGCATTTTGGATTTCACATTGAGGTTATGTTAATAAGGTGAGAAAAAAATGCTTCATGCATAAGGTGGGAATAAAGATGCATCTAAATAAGGATTTATTGAATAAGCTAGTTTAAAAAAAAAATCTTTGAAATATGAGGATGAGTATCACACATTACAGTTATTCAATAATTAGAGGTAGGATCCTCATTCCTCCACCCTCACACATGTTGGTAATGATTCCATGAACGAGTTTACTCTCATTTAAACCCTTAAATTACTTGTACTTGTACAACACTACTAGATTAGAATCTCTCATCAAGTTTACATAAATAAAATTTTCACCAGTATGACATAAAATTAAAAACTGAGTATATAAATACTATGAATATAGACACTATGCTGCTCTCACTCCCAACTTTAGTTAAATCTTGTATAATATGAAAAAAAAAATCAAATTTAATTTGCACATGTATTAAATATGAAAATCATCTCCAAAAAAATAATTAACTTGTTCTTGCAGGAAATATGAGAAATTTGTCATGAGAAGTACACATACTTGAGACAAAATTGGAAACTGTGTATTGTTTCAGGTGAAATGAGGAAGAAAATCAATAAAGGCAAAAAATAGATCAGCAAATGAAAATTAATGATCCACCTTCATGGTCCAAATTGCAAAAACAGAAACAGCAAAAAATCCAAAGACCCAATAAGAAAATTTGTGACACGCCCGTTATTAAGTAAGGAGCCAATTTTGAATAAGCCAATGAATAAGACGCATTTTTCTATACTTATCAAAAGCAACTGAGTCTAGCTTCGGTTATTAGAATACTGCTTCTCTGAGTTACAATAAATGAATATAATTTGAGGAACATTGATGCCAAGTTTTAAAATTTATATATTGGTAGTTATTCTAGCTAAGTTGGAAATATTATGTAAAAGGTGAATGAATGAAGATGAAATCAAGATATACGAGGGTTGTTCGAAAAGTTCGTGGACGATGTCCATCTTCGTTATACTACTCACTGGAAATTCAAAACAAGCACATTATAATATGTAAAAATATTTGTTTTGTTGGTGTGTGAAGTTTCATTCCATTCGATTTATCACAATTAATTTTACTTCATTTTCAAATCAACATGTTTTGTACCCGCGGAGCACACAATACGGCAATGTAACGTCAAAACATAGCATCGAGAATTTATAATAGATACATGTACTATACCTATACATTTCACATAGAATATTCCAATGCCCATTCATTAAATTCTTTTTCTAATACTTGACAATTATTTTTTTAAGAATTGATCTCATTGTATAATTTTCGTTGTTAAGGTTTTAATTTCTTTTAGTACTTATCTCTGCTTTCACAGGATAAGCAACTCTGAAGCGCCTTTGTCTTTCATTTACGTTTCAAATTTTAAAAAGTTTTGTTCAGATGATTACAGTAAAACCGTTTCTTCACAGGTCATCCTCATCCGATACAGAGTCTCTGCCACTTAAATATTGCCTGTACTATTTGTACACACATGCACAACTCGTTTGCGACATATTTTCTTGATTCCTTCAACATTTTTAGAGTTTATTCAGGATTTTTCCTAAGAAAAACACAAAATTGCTTCGGTATCTGCTGCTGCGTGACGTTCTAAAACGTCATCGTTTTTGTCATTTTCAATAAGAACTACTTATCTTCTCAAGTTGATTTCTTTTCAACAAAGCAAAATATAAAACCATAATTTGGTACACATATTGATGTAACAATTCTTAATTTGAATTACTAGGTAGTTTTTCGTTTTTCCTACATTTTACAGAGAATATGACTATAGACATTATTTATTGTATTTTCTGTAACTTACTAAATTTTGACCTGCTCCGCGATCCGATTTTTGCATTTTTAAAATCTGGATAAGTTTTTAATCAATCGTAATATTTTGTCAAAATTAATACATATCATTTGAATTTATTGTTAAAATATTTCAACCAAATTTGCACAACATATGACGTCAAATAAAAAAGATATGACAGTTGTCCACGAACTTTTCGAACAACCCTCGTATGATCTGGCTTGGTCAGAAAAACTCAACTAAACTTATCAAGTGAACTAGATTATGAAATGAGGTATTTGTTCAGCTCTATCAGTTTAATGCACAGAGAGTATCTGTATAAAACTCCCAACAATGTTAACAAAGTAAATGGCACATTTTAGATGAAAGTAATTCAAATCACAGGAACGAATTCAAAAGAAATCAACATAAAACATTCTCAAACTCCTGGATTGGTCTTCTCTCTTCCTGAACTTGGGTGATGGTCTTCTTGCTGAACATGGCTGACTGCCAGATTTCCTGATCTGTGTAGGCTTCTGTTCTCCACAGACCACAGCAGACAATGATACAATGACCTTCAGCTGCCTTACCAAGGTGAAAGAAGTCTCTATGCCTTTTGTTTTATTGTGAATGCTGATATATTGAAATGATCACACATTTCTTGAACCTGAAAAAAAGAAAAGTGATAGATGATATGTTAAATGTTTTCCATCTTATGAATTCTTTATTCATTTGAATGTTAATAAAACATAAAATCACATTGTATGCTTTAAAAAACACATTTTATGCTTTTAAAAGCCATCTCCAATTCCTCCTTAAATTCTAAGGATTTTACTGATATTTCACATCTTGACCAAATTCAGATATACAGTATGATTTAACTTTATACCACATGGACCATTCAGTAAGATTTAACTTACTACATGAACCATTCAGTATGATTTAACTTACTGTAAATGACTTTTTATTCACGAGAACTTTATTTTCGCGTAATTACGCGAGACGAGATGCTCGCGAAAATTTCATTCTCGCGTATTATAGAATTCCTTAAGATTATATAGAGCAATGACCACAATTAGTGAAAATTTTGTCTTGCTATTAAAGAGTCAATGACTATTTCGCGAAAATAAGGTATCACGAAAATTAAGTGATCTACAGTACCACATGGACCATTCAGTATGATTAACTTACCACATAGACCAATCAGTAAGATTTAACTTACCACATGAACCCCAAAGTGAATATGAGCAGCAGTGACTAGACAGCAATATCCCCACAGAAGGTAAACCTCTACTTGTCCGAGTGACAGCAGTGAACACGTCGTAACTATAGCAACCAGAGGTAGGAGGAGCCAGTTAACGAGTTCACATCGAGTATCACTCATCTGACTGATGATTAGGTGACACTGAAATTAACAGTTTATAAAACAATTATACATATCATCCACTAAATGATTTCATCTAAAATCAGGCTGAAATCTTTGTGCAAAAGTGTTGCTAAAACAAATGATTATAATAAATGGTACAATGAACATGCACAAACTTGGTTTATTCTATTTTGCATGAAAATACTGCTGCATAAATTGCTAAACAGAATTGTCTAGTATCATACATGCACATACAGTAGATAATCAAATAATTTCCCATATTATTACTGAATTCCTTATTCATAACTTACATATAAAGTTACATGTAAGAAAAGCCGTAGCAAATCTATGTACTGATTTAGCATTAGTGAAAGGATTCCACTCTTCTATCAGAGACTTACAGCAATGTTAGAGAAGGCGGTCCCTGTAGTCCAGTAGAAGAGGCGGGGCTGTAACTCCATCACCTGACAGCTGGACACACGCGCCCAATACACCATCAGAAAGAATAAGATAAACGTGGACACTAGGGGGCGCATCATCTCCCATGGCCCGTACATTTTACCTGTTTTATCTCGGTAAGATCTACAACAAATAAAACACCGATATCTCCAACTCTTTCATTTCACTGGTTGATTTTGTTACTGTTATCTAAATTACATACAAAACATAAACACAGGGATCAACCATCCAGAAGAGCATTGATTCTGTTACATTGTATTAACTGGCCCTAAGCCTCCATTACTTACTTGTATATATTCCAGAAAGTTGCTGGGAAAGTCAGAACAAAGAATCCAACTGTAACGAAATAAAGAAAGTTATAAAGACTGCTTCCATTTACAGAATACTAATAAACAGTCAAACCTAGATGTCTCAAATAATGAGATTGTACATGTTTAAATGCAAACTTTGAAATATCCAAGGTTTCAAGATATCAAACTTGATTCTTTAGTCAATAATACCATTGGGATACACAATCATTTAATAGCCCTGGCATCTGACATATACTGAATCATACAATGTACAAATACTGGTACATAATTGTATAATAATTCACCAATATTAATTTTAAATGAATTAACCAATATGATTGGCATGTACAGTCAAATTTTCTTATTTCAAACTCAAAGGGAGCAAGGAAAACTTTGAGATATCCAGGCATTCAGGAAACTGAGGTTAAAAAGCAAAGAAGATGTAGTTGGGAATTCCAACTGACTTTAAAATATCCATGGTATTTGAGATATTTGGGTTCAAGATATCAAAGTCAAACTGTATATACAACGCTAGGCATCATAAATTTAACCCTGGATGATCAGGAAAGTACATATAAATACTAGTTCTGTGCCATAGATTGATATTTTTATTAATGAAAGTCTATGAAGTAGAGAGAGGTGACTAAGGGCTACTCACCATACATTCCTATTTCTATAAACTCGGAGCAGTAGATATCTATCACTGGAATTTTAAATTTCCACATACTCTGACCCCCAACAAAGGTCACAAGATATACTCCTGTCATGGCCTTAAGTAAAATAAGGAAAGTAGTTTTATAGACTTTACACATATGTAGATTCCACATTTTTAACAACATAAAACTTACGAATAAATTTTAATGAAGGAAATGATTGAATCAACATGACTTCTTGAATGTAGACAAAATAATAAATATAAAGGTTTAAACACTTCAAATTATTTTTTCACATTAGAATAAAACTGGGTAAGAAGTTTGAACTGTTTAAAATTCAGAAAGCACAATAATTTTTATTTTTGATGAAATATTATGAAAATAAACAATTTAAACCTAATTTGTTTCAAAGCCTTAATCGTTCAATTGCGAATTACCAATTGGCTGAGGTCGTAGCCCCAGGGTAGGAATAAGATTTTGGTGTTGTATTTCTCCCAGTGAGAGAGGATAAAACACAGCATGACTCCCGTCACGATGAAGTACACCCTAAACACCCCCACTCCATACTCCCCGCGGCCAAAAATAGAATACAGAGCCACGGGCAGGAACAGGGTGGCCCAGCTGTCCAGTCCGTGGTCAAATAACTCCCCCAGGGGGGAGCTGGACCCTGTCCTCCGTGCCTGCTTACCGTCAATCCCATCTGTGGAGATTATATAGAGGAATTAGTTTAAACAGAGTGAGCATAAAAAAGATTAACAATATTTCTACTGGTATTAATAAATTTTTGATGTAATAGTTAACATAAACTTATCAATATAGTATAGGCCAAAATAAAAATATTCCTAGATTCTCATCCCCGCCCGCCCCGATTTTATACCCCCGCCTCGATTTTTTTAATTTCTGTTTTTCTTCGTTTTAATTCTGATCGGGATCGGTATTCATCTACCATTCTACTTTCGTTTTAAATCCCGCAAATGTTGACATGATTTTGACAGCTGAAAAGATGGTAATTGCTGTAATACATGCGTATATATTTTAAACAAGGGTCATTGGTTGAAAAAGATCGGTGATGATGTGAAGTAAGAGATAATTGAACCTTTACTATGACTTTTATTTGGGTATTGTAGATAATTACACCGATTGACCAGGTCAATAAAAAATCTGCAAAATTGAAAAAATTTAAAAATATAAAATAAAAGCCGCCCGCCCGCCTCGATTTTTAAAAAAATTTGGATGAGAATCTAGCAATTTATTTATTATGGCCATATATACATTACAATCTGCTAAAAAGCGGTATGACAATTTTTTTTACCTCCTATCCTTAAAATATGTACAGCGTAAGTAATCACACCTTTCAATTTCTTTAATGATTAAATTAATGTTCAAAACAACTATCTTAAGAACATATTTGTATGATTTTTATATAAATCAATTATTTTACAGCTAAAATTGAAATTAGCTACACAAATTTGTATGATTTTTACCTAATGTGTGTGACATGAAGTTGTTAAATGCACAGACCAGCCACACCCAGTTAGGAATAGGGGGACACTCAGGATGGTCCCTACTGGCAGAAAAAAAGTGGGGGTCATAGTAGGTCAAAAGGACAAAGTTCATCATCAGCTGACCAAATCCTGTCAAGGTCAATACATTGGGTGCAATCCATTTTGGTACAAACTGCAAGAAAATTAATAGTCATAAAAATAAATAAACTCAAAAGCATTGACAGTCGAAAGAGTATTTCAGTTTGTATTTCTCCAAATAAAGAGCCTACCTTGGATACATACAAAAAACAGAGATATTTCATCAAAATAAATTTAGTTCAAAATGACAATTTCTGATATATCAACAAAATACCTAGTAAATAAAGTTCAATTAATATAATTACCTCAACCACCCAGTTCCAGAAAGGATGTGTTATGTACTTGCTAACTGGGCTTGTGTCGACTGCACTGTACTGAAAAACAATGAAGAATAGTTATAATTGCAGCTGACTATTTTTTTCACATGTATACAAGCCCGTGTAAGGGCTGACAATAAAGATACTTAGTAGCTCAAGATCTCAAAACAACAGAATTAGTCAGTAAAAAGAAGCTTATTATGTAAATAGCAAGATAAGGAAGCATTAATCACTCTAACAAAAATAAAGAGGACTTGTAAGTACTGTATGTACTACCGGTAGTTACTTTTTGCAAATTGTACTGTACTCAAGGTTGATGCAAAATTAGGATTAGAAAACATCTCAAGTTTTTACAAATAGGTGCACTCAAGGGAAGTTTGTCTAGATAGTTACAATAAACTCATGATTTTCTTCTTCAAATAAACAAATCTCTAAAATAACTACTCCATTTCCCAAAACTTATCCTTACTCTTAATGGTATCATCTATAAATGCAATGTATCATACATACACTCTGATTTTAGCACATAATTTCTGTCACCATTTTGATTTTTTTTCTTTTCCAATGTCCATTGAAATGGAGTGATGCAAAATTTTGTTCAATTCATAACTGCACATGGAGATCAGCGCGGGTCACTAGTCCATTGGGCTGGTTTAGTTTCTACCTTGATCTCATTCAAATACTACAGTAACTTATTAACTTCATTGCAGTCAAATGGGGGATTTTCCAAGTGATTTCCAAGTAACTGCACCACAACATAAAACTTGTTACTCAACTGTCATTTGACTGGTTATAGTATTAAGTCTTGCACCAATCTTATATATAAGGAAAGTTCTTACACAAGTATTCGACTGATTACCCGGCTTAGTCTCACTCTGGCATCCGATTTAGAGATCAGAGTTATCCTTGCACACTATTTGACTCGCAGTAGACACACAATCTCATATATTGAAATTGTGTGCAGATTACTCCATATATTTTAGCGCATTTACCTGGCGACCAATATAGTATAGTCACTGATAAACAGGGATAAATCCTACCAGTGGTTTTTAACAACATCACTTGGTTTTGAGTCAACGTGTTGTCATCCAACCACAGGCACTTGTTTCAGAAGTAAATTTCCGTTTCATGATTGAAGTTGACTTTTTCATTTTCCGAGCAGAGTTTTGATGCTTTTTATGGAGATAAAAGAAAACAAAGACAAGTGTGCCATATCTGGTTGTGAAGATAAATTATTATAGAAAACAAAGGTAATAAACAGTTTGCCAGTGCATTTCCTCTGAAAGACCTTCTTCCCTCAAGCCATCCGGCTGTGGAATTCCTTACCAGGAGGAATGGTGGAAGCCAAGACCCTGGACAGCTTTAAAATCCAGCTGCCCAGTGCCAGCCACTAGAAATCACTTCTCTGCATTTTTAATAGGGCTGGGACGATACAACTTTTTCTATATCGATACATATCACGATATTTGAGCCACGATACGATATGTATCACGATATGTTTGATTGCTGATAAATTCTATTTTTGCATTGAAATAAACAAATTATTTCTTTGCAAATAAGAATAATTTATTCAAAATAATTGTTTATATATTGTAAAACAAAAATATTTTACTCAAGTGGTGTTAATTATTATTTATTTCATATCTATATTTATATTTAGCTTCTTTATTTTATATATTAAACCCCAAATGTTAAATAAACAAAGAAAAACAGAAGTAAGATTTTTGGGGGCGATATTCCGATATTTCTTCATATGTATTGATATGCGTATCGTCCTAATATGTATCACGATATATTGATATCTCGATATATCGTCCCAGCCCTAATTTTTAATCTTTTAAACTTTTAATTTTATGAGCACTGTATATAAGACACTCATCCCCTCACGCAGAGTGCGATAATACTTTAGTGTTTCTGCACTGGATAGGAAGAAGAAGAAAGTGTACATGAGTGCGTTTCTAAGGAGGGGGGTACTGAGTGTAATTAGGAGTTAGAATACTTAGATACTTTGCGTTATTATTATACTTTGGGTTAAACAATTAATTTCCGAAACAAGTGCCTGTGCATCTGGGAACGTCAAGATTTGACTCAGGACCCTGGCATTGTGATGCTTCACAGTTAACCGGCGAGCTTCGCGAGCGTAGCGCTTCCATCGCAAACTCGCTTTTAGGGTTGTGCCCGTTTCTCATTTATTTTTACTTTATTCATAAAAATTGTCGACTCTTTTCAATGCTTTTCTCACACCTAGACTGGTCGATGCATGTTGTACTGCAAAATTTTGCAATATATCGGTATCTTGATTACTTTTCATTACATCCAGGCTTGATCACAGATATTTAAGTACATTTGAAGAATTAAGATATCAGTTTTTACCTTATATTTGTCAAATCCAGACAAAACTTTTGGGGAAAGATATTTGTATGTTGTCATGCTGCTGAAGTCCTCATTCTCTGAAGTGAAAGAAGGCAAATCCTCATTGGCCTTTTCAAAATTATCAACCAATCAAAAACCTCGAACCAAAACGTCTAAGTCGTCTGCAGAAAGTTGTTCGGAAGTTTTCGGAGTTTATATTAGGACAGCCTGAGGGCACATTGACACGCTGTGTGTCATTTTCTGTCAGATTTACTAATTTTATCTTTGTACGAAGTGTACTTTGTCAAGACAGGTGAAGTCCATTTACAATGGCTGATAGTCGGAGAGGGTAAAGTATATTATTGTTTCATTTGATTGCATAATATTTAAGATTTAGGTGGGCGTGGCATCCAGCGATCCACGTTGCGAGTGTACACAACTGGCAACTCTTTGATCTCAGATTAAGTCAAATCTTTCAGAAATAAATTGAGACTGTCTGAGACGGTTTTATGGATTTTTGGAAATTTTTCCAATCCATGATATGTGAAATCACTTTTTCATTTTGTTTATAATCAATATTAGATCTAATTAGGTGTCAGCTGATAAAAAATGTTTGCAGAATGATGAGAATCCAAGAAAAGATGTATTTAGCTAACTTATCATTGCAAGTTTTGCAACCTTCTTTTCTTGTTGCGAGCCATTTATTATATCCTGGCTTCAAAAGTGTGAGGGTATAGTCATAATAATTCATTTGGATGTCCGTCTTAGTAGTTACGTCTGTCCTTCTATTACACTGTGGGGTGCCACGGATCTCTTATCTCTACTTATACCAATGAATGAAATTTAATGAGATTTTCACAGATTCTTTACTACATGATGCCATTGTGCACTTCCTATTTCACTTTTTGACCCGATCAACACTTATTTTGGGTCTCCCAGAGCAAAACATGGTCTCTGCCATATTATATTCATATGGGAGGCAGGGGGATCACCTAGGGTGCGTTCACAGTTCTGCCGTTGGTAGACAAAAGTTGCCGTTGGTAAAATTAATTACCATTGGCATGCCACTGGTACCAATGTTTTTTGCCAATGGTATATTTTTCTGCAGACACTGGGTGCGTTCACAGTTCTGCCGTTGGTAGACAAAAGTTGCCGTTGGTAAAATTAATTACCATTGGCATGCCAGTGGTACCAATGTTTTTTGCCAATGGTAGATTTTTCTGCAGACAATCTAGAGTGTGGTTAATGTTGGTAAATGACGTCACAGCTAGTTATCGACATGGCAACAAGCTAGAAAGACTTGGATCCCGGATTCACAATGATATAAACGATTTTTTCTCTAACCCTTTTTAACAAATAATGCCAAAATCACATAAAAATCATATCAAACACTTAAATTCATGACTTTGAAGTATGATTTAGACATGATCCATTAAATGTATTATATAAAACTCAAAGATATGGCAATTAAAGAAGTGTGACCCTGATGTGGTTTGTTTCTCGGCTCTGAGTCTGCTATGATTTTCTTTTGATTCTAGCATGTGCCAATAACTAAGAAGACCAAGAAATATGTAATTCAGTATTACCAACGTTTCCATTGGACTCCCATTGGTAACATTGGTAAAATAGTTACATTTTTATGCCAATATCCGTTCAGGGTTTATTGGTACAGTTGGTACCATTGTCAAATAATTGCACCAATGGTATATTGAAAGTTGGTACTAATGGTAGAACTGTGAACGCACCCAGTCTAGAGTGTGGTTAGTGTTGGTAAATGACGTCACAGCTAGTTATCGACATGGCAACAAGC